ACACACACACCCACCACACACCACACCACAACACACACACCACCCCACCACACACCCCCCCCACACACAACCACACACACACACACACACACACACACACACACACCCCACACACACACCAACACACCACACACACACCACACACACCCACAACCACACACACCCACCCACCCAAAACACACACACCACACACACCACCCACACCACCCACCACACCCACACACACCCCCCCCCCCCCACACCACACCCCACCACCACACACCACCACCACCACACACACACCACACACACACACACACCACCACTCCCACCACACACACACACACACACACAACCCCCACACACCACCCCCCCCCCCCCCCCCCCCCCCCACACACCCACACCCCCCACACCCACCCCACACCCCCCCCCCCACCACCCCACCCCCCCACCCCCCCCCCCCCCACACACCACCAACACCACCCCCAACTCACCACCCCACCCACACCCACACCCCCACCCCACACCCCACACACACACACACCACACAAACCCACACACACCCAACCACCCACACCACCCACACACACCCACACCACAAACAACACACACACCACCCACACCACACACACACCACACACCCACACACCACCACACACAAAACACACCCACCACACACCACACACACCCCACCAACACACACCACAACCACACACCACACACACCACACACACCACACCACACCCACCACACACACCCACACAAAACCCACACACCACACACAACACACACCACATAACACACACAAACCACACACATACCCACACACACACACACAACACACCACACCCATCACACACACCCACCACACACACAACAAACACACCAAACACACCACCAACACACACACACCCACCACCACACACCACCCACCCCCCACAACACACACACACACCACCCACACACACACACCACCACAACCCACCCCACACCCCCACCCACCCACACCCCCCACCTCTCACACACACACCCCCCACCCCACAACCCACACACACACACCACCCACACACCACACACACCCCAAACACACACATACACAACACCACACACACACACACACATTTACACACACACAAACCCACACACACACAATACACCACACACACACACCACACCACCCCCCAAAAAACCACCACACACCCCACACACACCACACACAACCCCACACACACCCACACACACACACACCCACACACAAACTCACAACCACACACACACACCACACACAACACCACCACACCCCCACACACACCCACACACACACACACCACACACACACCACACACCCACCAACACACCACAACACCCACACACCACAACACACCACAACACACAACACACACCACACACCACACACACACCACACACACACAAAACACCCAAAACACACACAACACCCCCCCCCACCCACACCCCACACACAACCACAACCACACCACACACCACCACAACAACCCCCACACACACACCCCCAAACACCCAAAAAACACCACACACACACACACACCCCCCCACACCCCACCCCACAACCCCCAAACCCCCACACAACACACACCCACACACACACACCCCACACACAACCACAACACACCCCACAACCCCACACACCCCCACCACACACAACCCACACACACACACCACCCCACACCCCAACACACACCACACACACCAACCCCCACACACACCACACACAACACCCCCACACAAAAAACCCACACCCCAACCACACACACCCCACACACACACCACACACAAAACCAAACCCAAAACCCCACACACACACACACACAACCCCAAAAACAACCACACACCACCAACCCACCCATCCCCCCAAAAATCAACCCCACAACACAACACCACCAACACAACACCACCCCAACCCCACACCACCCCACACAAAAAACCCCCCACAACACACACACACCCCTTTACCCCACACCACCACCCCAAACACACACCACCCCAAAACACACCCCCCACCCAACACACCACCAACCCCAACAAACACACCACACACACACCACAACACACCACACACACAACACACCCCACACCACACACACACACACACAACACATACACCCCAAAATCCCGGATTGTTTTTCGACCCATCACTACAAATGGGCATACACCCCACATCACATCACCCCCCACACATACCACCCCCCCTACACACACCCATCCCATCACCACAACCCCCAATACACACACCCCTCCAATAACACACCACCTCCATATACCACCCCCCCCATACACCCCCCAAACCCCTCCAACACACACACCACCTCCATACACACACACCACTCCAAACACAAAAACCCCCCTCCTACCACACCACCCCCAGACACACCCACCCCAATACTCCCCCTCCTACACAAAAACCCACCCCCATCCACACACCCCCCCCCAACACCTCCCACCCCCACACACTTTAAACCCCTCCTTGCAACATTCTAACTCATGTTTCACTCCCATAAAACAGTGTTGGGAAACTGTATACTTTGGTACATTCCCTTATTGCGGGCATGGTAAAGCCGTCCCCCAAAATTTTTAAAGTGTCCTCATACCCTGTTCTTTCTATCTTTTTCCCTCCCTTTAAGAGCCATCTGCGCCCGTCCACTCCCAAAGTCCGAACACTTTTACTTTCTGCAAAATACCTCAGTTAATATTCAGCCATTGCTGATTTTTTGTACTCTCTCACGTTCCCCTTTCCTAAGTTTACTCTCAAATTTCCTTCTTTTACATAACCCCCCAAATCTGTTTAAATGAATTTTTTTTAAAAGGAAAATAAATGGTATAAAATACCGACACATGGAAAAATAAACACAGAAGCAATGTAATGTGATCCTTTATTCACAACGTTTCAACCACCAGTGGCTTTATAAGTCACAAACAATTTTTGATTGATAAAGCCCCAAAGTTGGGGGAAATGTTTCAAAAAGGACCATATGGCTTATAGAATTCTTGAATATTTTTGCAATGTAACTTGAGTTTTTGGAATTCAGAACCAATTTTCTATAGAATCTGTGTTGTAATTATAGACAGATTTTCAAACAAGAAATGTTTTATGTAATTTTAGTTTTTAATAATATTTAAAAACCATTACCAGCAAAATGGGGCCCCTTCCTTTCCCTCCCACTTCCCCCCCTTTTTTTTCCCCCCTCTCCATTTCCTTTTTTGTTTTTCCTCCATTTTTTTTCTGTCTCCTTTTCCCATTGTCTTCCCCCTTCCCTTCCTCTCCCCTTTTATCTTGCACATTTTTGCTGTCTACCCCTTTTCATTGTTGTGGTAGTGCCTTGGGAAAGGGGAATGTAGGATAAAAAGGTTCCTGGTGTATGGGAAGAAGATTGTGTACTGTGGCATTACTGCTTTACAATTTAACTTTTTTTACTAAGGTATTTGAGGAGGGAGATATGGTAATGAAATGTTTTGTTTTATGGAACTTCGGGTTTAAAGGGACATGGAAAAAGAGGAATTTTTTCCAGGATTGGTTGAAAAATAGGCACAGAGAGTTTGCATAAATGGGGGGAAACCCAAACGGGGGAAGCATACAAGTCATTGTTGGGCCCCTTTTTTTCACAAACTCATAATTGACATAGTGAGGAATAAATTCGACATAACAATTTTTTGCAGATACATCAAAATAGGCCTTCAAATTCATTCTGACAAGGGCAGAGCACCCTGGAAGATTGTAAGCTGAGCATGTCGAGAAGTGGCAGATGCAGTTTAATATAGACAAATGCAAAGTTTAAACATTGGGGCAGGAAACTAAAACCCTGCCACAATAAACTAAATTTAAAGTATATCTAAAAATTATGTTTTGAAAAGATTTTGGGGGTCGGGTTGCAAATCTAAAAACCCAAGAAACAGTGGGATAAGTGTTTGCAAAAAAGCGAATAGAAACCCTTTGGCTTTAATTCCCAAAAAGCATAAATAATAGAAGTCGTCAGGTTGTTCTTCAACTTTATACATGTATATCCTTGGTTAGGCCTCATTTAGATTATGCTACACAGTTTTGGTCACCATATTACAGAATGGATATAAATGCACTGGAAAACATACAAAGGAGGATGACAAAGTTTATTCCATGTACCATGTATCAGAAATCTTCCCTATGAGGATAGACTGAAGGCTCTGAATCTGCACTCTCCAGAAAGGTGTACAGTTAGTGGGGATATGATTGAGGTGCATAAATATAAAACAGGAATAAATAAAGGGAATGTAAATAGCGTGTTAAAATTATCTAGCCTAGACAGGACTCACAGCAATGGTTTTAAGTTGGAAAAATTCAGATTCAGGAAGGATATAGGAAAGCACTGGTTTGGTAATAGAGTTGTGGATGAGTGGAACAAACTCCCGAGTACCATCATAGAAGCTAAAACATTGTGTAGTTTTAAAAATAGGTTAGATAAATACACGAGTGGATGTGGGTGGGTGTGAGTTGGAACTGACTAGCTTGTGCTAATAGGTCTGATGCTGTGTTCCTTCCTTAAGTGGATGTGACCTGACCTGACTATGTTGGGCCATTGGCTTAAGAGGGTGGGAGATTTGGACGTGCCTCGCATAGGCCAGTAGGCCTGCTGCAGTGTTCCTTCTTTCTTATGTTCTTGTGTATTACAAAGTCTTAGTCATGTAATCTTTAAATTTTGTCCCATGTATTGCAAAGTTTGGACCCAGTACTTATGTCCTCAAAATGATATGATATATGATAATGGCCATTTTGGGGACTTTTTACATGCTTAACACATTATATAGTTCATTACCAACATATACTAGAGACTTACTGCACATTTGACTGAGCAGGAGTATTTGATGAGGGCAGACATTTTAAAGGTGGCAATAGGTGCTTATAAAAACCTAAATTTCCTCCTCTGTTATTTTTGTTTTAAGAACAAGGTAAGTCTTATTGAAGAATTTGAGAGTGTAACAAGTGTTGAAATTTCTGTACTTAACTTTCACAGGTATGTGGATGGATGGACCTGGTCCCAGGTTTCAGGGTCATGATGTTCCACATGGAGGACAAGTATCAAGGGATGGTCTTCCTGACAGACCCTGGGAATCTGACAGATCTCGGGATGGAGAAAGACCCTCAGATTTGGACAGATACAGAGACAATGAACGTTCTCGTGATGAACGAACTCGTGAAATGGAGCGTGACCATTCCATGGACCAAGTCCGTTCCATGGACCAAGTCCGTTCTATGGACCAAGTCCGTTCCATGGATCAGATCCGTTCCATGGATCAGATGCGTTCCATGGATCAAGTCCGTTCCATGGACCAAGTCCGTTCCTTGGACCAAGTCCGTACCTTGGACCAAGTCCGTTCAATGGACCAAGTTCGTTCCTTGGACCAAGTACGTTCCTTGGACCAAGTCCGTTCATTGGACCAAGATCGTTCCATTGACCAAGACAGATCCATTGACCAAGATCGATCCATGGATGAACGATCTAGAAATGACCGCACCAGGGACGATCGTTCCAGAGAAGATCGCTCCCGGGATGACCGCACCCGAGATGAGCGGTCCCGGGATGATCGTTCCAGGGATGAACGTTCCAGAGATGACCGCTCCAGAGACGACCGCTCCAGAGACGACCGCTCCAGGGATGACCGCTCCAGAGAAGATCGATCCAGAGATGATCGCTCCAGGGACGATCGTTCAAGGGATGATCGTTCTAGAGATGATCGTTCAAGAAGTGACCGTTCAAGGGATGACCGTTCAAGGGATGATCGCTCTAGAGATGATCGCTCAAGGGATGATCGCTCTAGAGATGATCGCTCTAGAGATGACCGTTCAAGGGATGATCGTTCTAGGAGTGATCGTTCCAGAGGTGATCGGTCTAGAGATGATCGTACCAGAGATGATCGTTCCAGGGATGATCGATCTAGAGATGATCGTTCTAGGGATGATAGATCGAGAGAAACCCGGCCAAGAGAAGACCGGACCCGTGATGATCGAAATCGTGACGACCGTGTCCGTGATGATAGATCGTGGGATGGTAAAACGAGAGAAAATGAGAGGTCACGGGATAGTGACAGAAGAAGGGATGAGAAAAGACCATGGGAAAAGTCAAGATGGGCTCCACGTGAGGAAGAGCAACCTATAGTAGAAATGGAAGATGGAGAGCCTGGTAGTTGGGATGTCTGGGCTATGATGTCTGGAGGTGATGCTCTTGGAATGATGGGTGTGAAAGAAGATGAAGTAAATGAAGAAAAATCTAAAGACAAAGAAAGTTTAGGTGATAAGGAGGTTCTAAAAGAACATAATGAAAATAATAGCAATGAAGCAAAACCTAAGGTTGAGAAACGTGATCCTGGGGAGGAAACTGGTAAAGATGATGTGCTTATGGAAGTAGAAAGTGCACCCATTGAACTAGAAAATGAACCAATGGATGTTGAATCTAAAGAGGATGGTAGCATAACAGAAACTGCATCTACTAGCATGATAAAATCAAACAAATTGCAAAAGCTTGAGAATCCTCTAAGTTTGCATTCTGTAGATGTCACTACTTGTTTGGAACAAAGTAATGATACTAGGGAGGAAGAAAAATCTCTATGGTCACCTGTTCACAATGAACCTGAAGGCAGTAAAGAACAGTCACAGCATGGTATTTCAGGCGAGACCAATGTGGATGATTTTTCACAGGACGATTCTCAGAAAAATAACTGCTTGCAAAATAAAAATCATGAGGGTATCTCTCAACAGGAAGATTCTCAGAAGCATGATTTATGTCAAGTAGACTCCCAAAATGGGAGACCTGTGCATAGTTATGCATCACAAGACCCCACACGTGTTTTGTTGAAAGAATCCCCACAGGAACTACTACATCCTTTATCACAGGAAGAACCTCTACATGTTTTATCACAGGAAGAACCCCCACATGCTTTACTACAGGAAGACCCCCCACATTCTTTGTTAGAGGAAGTGCCCCCACATGTTTTATCAAAAGAAGAACCCCTAAATAATTTATCACAGGAAGTGCCCCCACATGCCCAGCATGTTTTAATGCAGGAAAAACCCCAACATTCCCCGTCAGAGGAAGAACCCTCGTATGCTTTATCAGCGGGAAGAAAAACTCATGTTTCATTACAGGAAAAGCTTCAACCATCTTTTTCACAAGAAAAGCCTCCACATACTTTGTTACATGAAGACCCTCCACAGGCTTTGCTTCAAGCAGAACTCAACCAGGAGCATACATCATCAGTGGCTGTTGAAGATGCCCCAATAGAGGAACACTCCGAAGAATCATTAGGGCAAACAGATTCTCTAATTGGTGTTGGTGCAGCTAGAGAGGGTGATAGGGTTGTGGACAGTCCGCAAAGTGGTGGAAGTGATGGCCAACAAGAAGGTATTGCTTATGCTGATGGTGATGGCCAGGCCAATGAGGGGACTGAGGAGGGCTCTGTGATGGAGCAGGAAAATGAGCAGTCTGTGGAGGAAGAAGACAGAGAACATGATAATGGTCATTTGAATGAGGATTGAAAAATGTTATGTGACATTCTAAGGTTGAGTGCCTAATCACATTATGATAGCAATGTGAAGAAGATGCTTAAACTTTAGAGCCTTTACATAGTGTAAATTGAAAAATGACTTCAGAAATGTTATGCAAATCTGTGATGCATTGAACATCCTATTCTGATAAACCTAGTAGTTTTGGCACTTATTATCAGATGAATGATGTGAGGGAATGTTGTTGGTCTCTCAAATAGACAGTGTTGACATGTGGACAAAAAAAAGAAGACATTGCGACTTGAGGTGTACCTGACACGTGCTGGGATAATTGATGCCGCAAGTAACGAGCTACCTGTGTAACGAGCCTACCTGTGATGGGTGACTTACGTTATTTATATTTCTCAGGCGAGTGACTCTGTACCTTTTGGCTGTGATCTAGTATATGATTTATTGAGAAAATATGTACAATGTTTTAGCTTTTTACTGTTTTTCATTTTAAAAATCAGATTTAATAAATTTTAAACTATTTTGTACAAGATGGCCTATTTCATTTGTCCAAATGTAATTTTATCTGAGATGAAAAAATGGGCATGCCAAAATGTTTTCCTGTGTGGATTAAGAGACAAATATACAAGAATCGATGGCACAATAAGTACTGATAATTAGCTCACAATAGTTTATTAAGGTAGTGTCCATTAGGTACATGAGTCACACTGGACGATACAACTCAGGTAGGTCAGTGACTTCGGCATCCACGCAGTCATCGATCAGCTCAGCGGTGGACCCAGCATGCCCACTCAAATGTAGTGGTGCATGCAAGGTATGGTACCAAGTGATGATCCTCAAGTGTACAGATGAAACAAGTGTACAGTGCACATCTACCAACCAGTGACCAAGTGCCCAAGTGAAAATGTGTATTATCAATGTGGTTTTACCGTGCAATCCAAGTTGCAAGAAAGTTATTGCAATGTAATAATCCTCAGAAAAATGGTGCAGTCTTGTGTTGTGACCTCAAACTTTCTTTCTCCAGTTGTATGCTGTTATTAACTTACTTTGTCTGAAAGTAAAGCAATACTGTGAACAGTTTTGTATCAGATATGTAAAAAAAAATAGCATTTTACTATTTGATTCTTGAATGTAGAGGCCTTAAATTTAATGGTAAATTTTCAGCCAATAGCTGTGTATAAGAAGGGCCTGAGTGGTGTGCTCTCTCACTTGTTTAATCTGTATTTTATTGTGAAAGGGCCAGAACTGACACACACCACACTCAGCTCTTGCCCAGACACCATATCATGTATCTTCATGCAGTCATGTCTCTGTACCTGCTAACCATGGATACACTATCACTTTTTGGATATGCCCAGCTGTTATTCCATAAGTTACTAGCACATAAATTTTTTAGTTTGTATGAACATATGAATCACTTACCTTCCCATACTTCAATCCACCTTTTGTTTTGGCATATTGCTATTTATTAATGAAGTAAAATTGCAAGTACAAAACTCAATGTCTTCTAAGATATTTATGGTGGAGCAGGTATGGAGAATTACAGGCTGCATGGAATTAAGAATGAAGTATGATTTGTTTCACAGATGTTCTACCATGGTGGATAACATAGAAGAATACGAGCTCCATGATTCATCAGATAATTCATAAAGTAGTGCAAAGCTACTAATGGTTAAAGTCTTTTTGTAATTATAGTATAAAGTTTTCACACGTATGCTATTAGCATGAACTTGGAAATTCCTGTATATGGTGACTGATGGTGTAATCTTAGGTTTAAGTTCATAGTGTACCATCAAGTTGATGCACCCACCATTCCCGACAACTGTCGGTGTGGTCAGCTTCTCCCCTACCTCACTATTGCTACAACTTCAGGCTACAGAATTTACAGGTGGCTGCATTGGGGAGAAGTATTTTAATGTATGTTGTGCTTATTTAATGTAGTAATAAAGTGTTTGTACTCCAGAAACATTTCCTTAAGCCTTGGCTATATTTGGAATTCTGGCTCCTTTTATTTTTCAGCTGTGGGTGATTTTAAGAAATTGTATTAAATCTTGATTGCAATCTGTTGTATACTGTAATTCATTGTTGTTCACAGCAAGTAGTATCTATACACATTATTACTTAAAAGTGCATGTATTGCTGAAGTTCATTGTTTTAAAAATACCAAATTGTTAATTTGTAGTAACATTTCCAAGTAGCATCGAGAAAGGATATTATATGTATTTTTTTGTTTGTTTTACGTAAAAAAAACAAATAAGATAGTTTATCAAGGTAATTCGTGCAGCACTTCAAGGTACCTTAATACTGGTGAACCCATCAAGGGAGGTAGGTGCCTTGTTCTAGTGAGGGGCTCTTGATCCAAGGAACATTACCTATCCTCAGCTTACATTGAACTTCATTGATATTCCTATATAAAAAAATACCCCTATGGATTTAGTTCTCAGTTGTGATGATGATGCTGGTGGGGGACTTAAGATAAGAACATAAGAAAGGAGGAACACTGTAGCAGGCCTGTTGGCCCAAACTAGGCAGGTCCTTCACAGTCCATCCCACTAACAAAGCATTTGCCCAACCCAATTTTCAATACCACCCAAAAAATAAGCTCCAAGGAATTGAACCTGTCCTCTACTTGAATAAACCTGATTACTTCCAGTTTCCCAAACTCTGACTTTTACTGGTTATTGATCCCACGTAAGAGTGTAATAGAAGGGGATGGGGGTGTTTGTGTGAAGGGTGTTTGAATGAGGTGTGTTTACGTGAGCTGTTTGTGTGAGGGGGTGTTTGTATAAGGTGTGTATATTTGTATAAGGCGTCTGTTTATACGAGTGTGTGTGTTGGTATGAGGGGTGTCTGTATGAGGGGTGTGTATAAGGGGGTGTGTGCTTGTATGAGGGGTGTGTGTGTGTGTGTGTGGTGCTTGTATGAGGGGTGTGTGGGGTATGTGCTTGTATGAGGGGTGTGTGTTTGTATGACGAGTGTGTGTTGATGAGGGTGGTGTATGGTGTGTGGGGTTTGTATGACGGTTTTGTGTGTGTTTTTTATGACGTGTGTTTATGAGGGTTGTGTTTGTATGACGGGTCTGTGTGTTTGCATGAGCGGTGTGTGTGTGTGTATTTGTATGTAGTATGTCGTGCCGAATAGGTAAAGTAGGTCAATTACCAAGAGCTCATTGAAAATTAAGTCTTTTCTGAAATTTTAGCGATTTTTTCATTTATGTTAATGTAAAAATTAATACTTTTGTACCAAAAGAACAGTAGAAAACTTGCTTAATTTATTTTAGTAAGCTCAATTTAATTTAGTTTAATCCAACTAAATATATTCTAAATAAGTTTACAATAATTTAATAAACAAACACAGAGAAACATATTTTCGTTAGGTTCAGAATTATTTTTGCGAAATTACTGCATATGCAAATTTTCGCTTGCCTTTATCATATAAAGCCCATTCTTTTTTTAACCCCAAATCCGAGTTTTACCTATTGGGCCCACGATATATATATATATATATAATAAAAAATTATATTTATAAAATTTTATTTTTTTTAAAAAAAATATTATATATTATTTAATTTTTTTTTTTAAAAATTTATATATTAAAATATATTATTTAAATATATATAATAAAATTTTACCATATACACACACACAAAAACCACGCCACCACACACCCCAAACGCCACACACTCCACACCAGCCACCACACCAAAACACACACCACCCCACGCCACCACACACCCCCCAAACACAACACACCCACACACACACACACACACAAACACACCACACCAACACACACCCCCACACACCCCCACACACACCACCACACACACCACCACACACCCACCACAACACCCCAAAAACACCAACCACACACCCCACAAAACCCCCACACACACCACACACCCACCCCACACCCCAAAAACCCCCACCCCACCACCCCCACCCCCCACGCAAAACCCCACACCCCCCCCCAAAACCACCACAACCCCCAAACCACACCACCCCACACAAACCCCCCACACACCCCAAACAAACACCACACCCCACCACACACCACCACAACCCCACCAACCACACACCCCCAACCCCAAACCACACACCCCCACCACACACCCCCAAAACACCCACAAAACCACCACAAAACACCACCACACCAAAAACCACCACAACACCCCCCCACACCCCACAACCACACAAAACCCCCACACACCCACCCAACCACACCCACCACCACAAAACCACCCCCACAAACCCACACCCCACCACACACCCACACACCCCACACACACCCCCAAACACAAAACCCACCACACACCCCACCACCCACACCCCACCCCCCACCCCCACACACTACCAAAACAAACCCACCCCCACACCACCACACTCCACACACCACCACCACACCACCCACCACACCCCACACACACCACCGGGACAAAACCACCAAAACCACCCCACCACACAACACCACATGCCCCCACCCCCACACCACCCCAAAACCACAAACACCCCACACAAAACCACCACACACCCCACCACACACACACACACCCCCCACCCCCACACCAAACCCCAAACCCCCAACACCCACACACACCACACTCCCCACACACACCACACCACCCCACAAACCACACTCCCCAAAGGACAAAACAACCCGACACACCACCCAAAACACACACACCCCAAAACCAAAACACACACACACACAAAACCACACACCACACACAAACCCCACCACAAAACAAAACATACCACACACACACCACCCCAATACCACACCCCAACACCACACACACCCACACACCACACACCCACCACACACCACACACCACACACCCCACCCCAACACACCCCACACACCACCACACCAAAACCACACGCGCCCCACACACCCCCAACACACCCCAAACACCAAACATCCCAACCACACACCCCACACCACACACCACACCCAACCCACAACCACACACACACCCACACCCCACCACACACAAAACCACACCACCCCCAACAACCACACCACACCCCTCACACACACCCCCACCACACCACACACAAAAAAAACCCCAACCCCACACACACCCCACAAAACACCACACCACACACAAAACACACCAAACACTTTAACACCAACACCCCCAAAAACCCAACCACCCCCAAAACCCACACACACACACCAACCCCAAAAACCCCACCCCCCAACACACCACCCCAAACCACACAAAACCCCCACCACACCAAACCACACACACCACACACACCCACAAAACCCAAACACACACCACAACCCCCAACACACCCCCCACACCCCCCACCCCAACCCCAAACCCACACACCCCCAAAACAAAACACCACCCAAAACCACACACACCCCAACTCCCCCCCGCCACACACCCCCCACACACCACACATACGCCACACACACCCCCAAAACACCCCCACACCCCAAACACACCAAACAAAAACCATAATACACCACACACCCAACACACCCACACGCCCAAACAAAAACACACACCACACACCCC